CCTCCACCGCAGCCGCTTCCTCAGAAGGCATTTCTCAGGGCAGGCAGTGGTGGATAGGAGCAGCTGAATGGCAGAAACGTTCAATCTCAGCCTGGGCAAGGAGCTGCCCATGCCTGGGCCTGGGGTTGTAGTGACTCGTGCAGATGCTTGATTCATTTAATGGAGTATAAAAGCCGGGCTAGCACACCATTGACCCCTTGGATCCTGTCACAAACTCTTTGTTAATTTTGGCTGGAAATATGTGCTGTTTCCATGGGCAGTCGAGAGCATCAATATCTTTTCCAAAGTATTACTATCGAGTCATTTGCACGCAGCAGGATAAAAGCTGGTTTTGGATGACATTTAACACAGTCATCATGTCCTGGCCGGAGGTTTGCTTTGGTTTGGATTTGTTCTAAGCCAGTTCTTGCTCAAAACACTGTTCCGTGTTTGCTGGTCAGCCAGGGCTGGAGGCAGAGGGAGATGTGTGAATGGATGTTCACATGTTCCCAGCTGGCAGCAAGCAGAAAGCCCAACCGGTGACCTCCGCTGCTGAACAGACACTGCAGGATTGATGGCCTGCATCATGGGCACCTCATCAGTTCATGCATGAACACCCCATGAATTTATGTATAGCATCCAATTATTTCACACGTGCATGCCCTAAAAGTTCACGCATTAGTGCCCAATTAGCTTATGCATGAGTGCCCAATAAATTTATACCTAAGCATCCCCTTACTTCATGCATAAGCACACCATTTGTTTACATGTGAGCATCGAGAGAGCTCACATGGGGACCCAAAAAATCTGTGCCGGGGTGCTCCATCAGCTCACACATGAGCAGCCACTTCTGATGTGTGCCCATCAGCCCACACATCAGCACCCATTTAGTACACACACGAGTGCCAGGGGGACAGAAACTGAAGGGTTCAGGTCACTGAGGACATCGTGTGCCAAAACACCAGCTGGTGAGAGAAGCCTGTGGCCCACGGCTTGGACAGAGCTAAGAAGAGGGGGAGCTGTAAGATGAGATGCCACGTGAGAGGACATGCAGTGAGACATCGGAGGAGGCCTGTGGAAGATAAAACCCCTGAGGACACATGCTCCTGGACAGAGGTGTCTCACATGCTGGAGGGGTTCACTTCTGGGGGATCTGTCACAAATGGGAGGACCCATGCTTGAGCAGTGATGGCAGCACGCAAACCCCATCGCCTGGGCTGCTGGCATCTCCCTGAAGGAATAGGGATGTGCCGAGGGGAACCACAGCATTTTTGCTGCAGGAAACAAAAGCTAAGCAGGAGGGGAGGAGAGCTGTGTAGTTTGATTTGAACCTGGGAACGGGGGAGGAAAAGTCTTTAGTGATATGTTCAATTGCTCTCTTTTCATCATCTCAATACCCAAATCAGTGATTAGAAGTCTGTGTTACTTGGCAGTTAACTACCTTACTAAGTAAAAATGCAGCAAGTTGCGCTATTGTGCTGACAACACCTTGCTGAGCCTTGTGCTGAGCCTGAACATCATATCCCTTCCCACTGCCTCATCTTCCTCCGAACCAAGAGGAAGAAGTGCCTCTGCTACCCTGGAGGGACCAAGCTGGCATCTCTGCCCAGAGAGCTGGGGAGCTTGGTGCCACACTGACCCAACTGACTGTAGGACTAAGAGATGGCCAGGAGGGGAGGAAGGAAACCAACCTTTCCTTTCCTGAAGCCTGAAAACCAATTGCCAGCAAATGAGATGTCTCTCTGCTGCCACATTCCCACCCTCTGACACTTCTTGGTGTGGAGTCAGCTCAGGTGCTTCTCCACTGAAAATAGGTTCTTTTCAGGAGCATCAAAACTACTTTCAAGATCTTTAAGCTAGCACAGAGGTCCACAAACAGCCTTCCCAGCTCCCCAGAGCACCAAGGGTCTGAGGAGCACAGTTCACTGGGAGTCAACGTATCTGCCCTGCCCTGGGAAGAGGTAGAAGTGCCTTTCCCTGCCTTTCCCTGAAGTTCCCTTTGGAACTTCACTGTGAGCTTAAGGCACTTTCAAACCACAAATGTCTTTGGAAGAATTGTTACCTAACAGATGATGGGCAAAAACCTTGCCACTTCTAAGTTCAAGCACAAAGCTTACAACTATGTATGTGATGAAACATTTGAAGTGGAAGCTAGCCCTGGGCTTCCAGAGGTGTAGAACAGAGCAGTGACAATCCCAGCTCAACTACCCTTTTCCACTATTCCGAAGCAAGGCAGCACGATGAGAGGATCATTTGCCACAAGGGACTCCTGGCTGGGAAATTGCAAATTCCAATTTACAAGACTGAAACTCCAAGATCGCTAGAAAAATGTTCCTCCTCATTGCTCACGAGAACCAAAATTGGTTTTAACTTCCCATACATCTGGAAACCAAATAGCTCAGCTAATAAAACACTTCATTGCCCATAAAGAAAGAAAGCAAAGCTGCACAGTGGTAATGACACTGCACCAGCAGAAACCTCACAGCTTTCCTATCACAGCTGACAGGGAAGTTTTCAGACGCCTGCTTTTGTGAGATTTCAAAACAGAGCTTCAATTTTTAAATACAAGCAGCTAACCAAGTATTTGCAATGTTACTCACTCTCCTTGCAAGGCTAGGTGTAGCCTTACTGAGCACCTGAGCAGTAGCTGGTGTCAAGTAACACACTCGTACCCCAAAAACAAGCTGAAGACAGTTTTCAGGGTGTTTTCCACCAGCAGCTCGAGAAGCAAAACATTACCTAGGGAACTACCTTCAGTAAGTCGAAGCAACAGAGCTGAGTCTCTTCCAATAAAAAGTTAATGCACAGCTCAGGGTGCTCAGTAAATCACCAAGA